ACCGCCTTGGGTACATCTGGTACGCATGCTTCTCCACATGGATAGACAGGAAGGATGCTTGTGTGCAGGTTGAAGGAGTATGGGCCTGCTCCATTGATGAAACGTAGTTCACGTCCACATGCCCTCCGAACTTGTTACTTCGGGACCACCCTGCATTTGAGATGTGGGGAGGGAGCTGTGGGTGGTTAAGCCGAAGCCATTAATGGTCTCGCTGTAGGCCCAAGCCTCCTGTGGCTGTCATATGAAGGCAGCAGTGCCCGGCAAATCCGGAAGTGGTTGCCGCTAACCCTATGCCAGCATGCTGTAGACGCCAACTGGAAACACTCACAGGCCACCTCTGACTCGAACGGTACACATATTGCCCTATACTTCCTTATAGTCTTGCAATTGTTTACGCTCCATAAACGTTTTACACCTTATAACGCCTGTTCGAATAATTGGTATTGACTATGGTATGCTTAACTTCGAAATTTCCGACATCGACCCAGGAACAGCATGGGGGAAATAGTTATGCGTTGGCACTCCGCTTGGTATATTCTGCCGGTTTAACAAATATCCACTAATGCAGAGTATACATTGGATTGTACTGCAAAGTCGTTGTCTGCACACACTTCATTGACCACGGCAAACACACTATTCGGGCAGTCATTCGGACAGCGAGAATAGTCCATGTGTTTTCCGTCAGGCACAGTTATGTAACCGAGTCCACTTTGTTATCTTATTTTCTTGCCCATTTTACATCGCACTTTGCTGTTACAAAACGTTTCTTTAATTAGACTTAAAACATGATCCTCATTTTTAATCGGTAACATTAAACCTCCTACGTTTAGCGATAGTTGAGTAAGCAGGCGAACATTCAACATGACCAAAATGCGCGCATTTTTGCTGTGCTTACATACACACTTTCCTTATAACCATACACAAACTGACTCTACCTTAGTGAAGGTTTAGGTATTGGGTTCACAAAGAAAATTTCAAAACATCTGTTAAATATCCGGATGATATTAGTTTACTAACTGCCTAGAAACATGGCTAAATTAGACACTTCAAGTGTGGATATATAAGTAAGATTTACAAATTTCGGGCGTTCCCAAACTCATCAAGACATTCGCGTTAAGAGAATGAGCAAAAGTTTAAACTGTATACATTCGGAAGATGGCATTATCCAAAGTGAAAAATAAGCTTAACTTGATAGCTGGAGAAATATCTCATGCTGTCGGTGAACAAATTGCATCCCATAGCAGATTCGGATGAGTAACGATGCAAATGGCCGGGCTATCAGCATTTCGGAGGCTGGTAGGATAGTGGCGTTAACAAATTTGCAGTGTTTTTCCACTAGAATGGTACCTTTTTTGTTGCATTTTACAGCCCACACACCTAACTTGAAAGCGGTATAAGGAAATAAATCTAAACATTTAGCAATGATACAAGCAGTGGCTGGCAGGAAGACTTCCACGTAGCACAAGCTGGTTGGTAGTGTTTACCTTTTCTAGCAAATGACCTGGCGGTAGATTTTACAACGTGTTGAGCATTCGCTTTGCAAGCGTTCACTCCTTATATAGTTGGCGGCATCCGGTTTCGAATTTGCCTGTCACTGTGGCCAACCACAATACTCCTGCGCCTACAGAGGGACCATGGGTGGCTTGCGCTACACCATCCAAAGCTCTAACCACATACACCACATCAAGTGTAAAGCCGAAGGAATAAGACCGGAAGGATGTGGTTGGGAGCCAAGTTTCTTCAACGCAGCCGGCCCACACTCATTCAACATACACAGCAACAGCATTCCTGTTTGATTGTTCCATTGTCCACCTGAAAACCGTGAGTATTGGACGCACGCAAGGCGGTGAATGGACCGCAGCGCGTTTCACACTGTATGCATGGGACCATTATTTGAGCCTTGCACCCTCATGAGAACTGTGCGTACGTTCCCTCCTAACAAGGATTCTGAGTGGCTTAAGGCAAGTAATCGAGGTGGAGATTTCTTGACAGTTATTCACATTGTCAACACTCACATCGAGTACATCCTGGCATTGCATATCGCACTGGAGGTTTCATATGCGTGCACACGCTTGACTGACAGTCTGTCGAATTCAGCCCGACGGAGACGACCGGACACAGCATTTGCTTCACACGCCTCTAATTTGGCAACTGCACAATGGTAGTTCGAATAAAAGAGTAACCACATACCTTCACATGCATTTGTCTCTACCTGTGTATAAACAACCAAAAATTGATTAGACAAAATGTGAGTCCAACGGACTACCATAATAAAATAGTGCATGGGTTGTGATTGCAGAATCATTTGCAGCCATATTCTTTAAGCTATTGGTAATAACAAGCACCATAGTAAATACTCAATTAGAGAAGTTTCGTTGATAAACATGAGCGGTAGCTGTGTTCCGTCTGGCTCAACATCCGGTGTTCCCAAGGACCTCGTCTAGTGGTATAATCAGAATTAGCCCGTGCGTCGTGGCACACAAATCAGTGATCGAATCCCCGTTATAGTTCATTAGGATGGTCGTTCATGGCATGGCATCTTCTCACTTAGTCCATCTCAAGCATTACGCTTTGATGTATTACGAGGGCTGCGCCGCGAGGCTCGTGCAGTAGACAGTAGTAACATGTGCGAAATGAACACTGAATGTTGGGCGAAGACACGGAACTGTTCAAATCAAATTACCCAGACTAAGGTGGATCTGTGGCAATGCAGATCGTTGTAACCCGACTGCGCACATAAATCAGTTATATTACTGGTGAACTTGTGAACTTTACTACATTTTCCCGTCATTTGTATCTGTCAGAAAATGATTTCAGTTACCGAATCAAGCATGGCAGGCGCCTAACGCCCAATACAAAAACGCATAATTTATTATTTTTAGTATATATTAAGGTTAGTGCACAGCCTATGGGCTTATGCACATTGTGGATACACAAACGTGCAAAAGCACAGTAACGCACTTGGATTAAATTCTCTCCAAATGTTCAGGTGTTTTAGACTACCATAGAACTCTTCCGTCAGATACTGTCGCAGCATGATATAACTGGACAATTTCGTGATCCACCAAAAGTCAGATATTTCAGGCAAATCTACCGAAAACTCTAAGCATGGTTGTTAACGCAGCAATTGTAAATGGTACACACATTAAACTTACCCATCTATTCTTTCATTTACAGCGATTGTGCCATACCAATCCACGGCAAAGTTTGTGTCCGCACTGGCTGAGAAAGGAGTACAATATCGCATGCTTGTAAGCTGCGCATTACTTTTTCCTTTGTCCTTGATAACGACGCAGTCAAACCCCCAACTTTCGTTCGGCTAACCCACCATCATCGAAAGCGCATATGTATGTAATACGGACAATAAGAAGCTTAGCCAAGCAATAAATTCATTTAATTTGGATTTTAATATCTAGTATTCCGAAAAAATATTCGGGTATTTATTCCTGAGGTGAGTTGTTCATTTGCCTTATCATTCAGGCATCATATCACCGGCACACTGCTTAAATGCAAAATGCAAGACTGAAACTCGTTGAGGCAGAAGTTTTAGCATTATAGTTGTTAATTTCGCCCATTTGCAAATAACTGTGAGGTAAGAGCCATCATAATAGCCAAAATCCTGCGTGAAAACAGTTTAAAAAAAGCGTCACCTGATTTGCATGGTGCATACCTATGATGACAAATATTTTTCCTGAAACCTTCATTAAGAACATTTGTACCATTTTAGTAAAAACGATGTCACTAGATAAAGTGCATAATTAGCCTGTCGCCTTTATATTCCCAGTATTTCACCGCTAGTTAAACTTAGCACTGGTTGGCTCCGGCACTCTTTGTGCTCTCGCTTCTAGATAAATAGTAATAGATGTTATCAGAAATAAAAAAGTTGTATATTCCAACTTATGCTAGCCATATTTACTGACTAGCTACTAATTGTAATTTCCTCCTTTAATCAGTTTTCACTAATGGTCACGCAAATAGTTTGGCATTGAGTCTCAGAACTTGGGTGTAGTCCACGGATGCCAGCTTTAGACAATCATAGTTTCTCCATGGTTTGTATACTACCTTCTGTCCATGCCGTCAAATGGGTGGAGATAAAACTAATTATATCCTACAGTTGATATGCCACATATTCTATCAATAATGTTGTTAAATTCGTTATCTTTCTGCATCAAATATTAGTCTCCTAGGCAATATGATTCCGACAATTATAATAAAGGATCTTTAACTTGCTCTCAGTACACCGCAGCTAGTATGCATGTACACTAAACAGCCTCAAAGTTTTACCCCTTCAATTTCCTAAAATCGACCAGTTTTCACAGAAAGTTGTAGGCACGCCAGGTCACAGGAAACCCCAACATATTAAAACAGTCCCTTAACAAGTTTTTGGCAGTAACAATTTTAAAATTACAAACAGCCGTAGATTCCAAATAACGTTCATTTTTTATGGTTATAAATATTCTTTTGTCATTTGCAATGTGTTTTGCTACCTTTGTAGCCTCTGTTCGATGCGGATCATGAATATGCCGAGAGACAGGACTTAAAGGAATCTCTCCTCACCCATCTGAGTGTGTTTCTGTGTGATTGCCTAAGAAGCAAGGATACGGCACGAGCCAACCTTTACAGAAGACTACATATGGAGGGACCTGCATAGAGGAATATGTGGTGGGTGTAATCTAAGTGTACTCATTTTTTAAATTCACGCAGTTTTGTTCCCTGATAAAGCATGAGAAATACTAGGCAATCAGCTAGGTGAGATAATACTCACGTTTCTCGCGACTTAGGTTGCGAAGGAAACTGTCCTCACCCTTTATTTAAGTGAGGCATGGGCAGTGTTTATAGATAAAGTTTCTTTTTAGGTGACGCAGTGAGTTCTCTCCCATAAGTCAACGATCATCAGCCCAATCTATACGTCTGAACAAATAACAAAGTAGCATATTTTTTGACGATGCAAGAATCTGTTCCTTAAAAGCGACAGATCAAAACGTTTACAACCATTTAATGCTACTACATGATCAAAATTATGAGCACAAATTTCAAGTTTATGTAACACCAACTAATCCGAACAGTATGCTGATTATCGACCTGCAGCTTAGTCGGTGTTCTATATAAAAACCGTGACAAATTTGCGGGCACGAAAAGCGTTGCTGTGAGCCAAAAGTTATATACAGGTGTTCACGTTGCCCTGATACTTTCGTTATGCTTAATTCTGCCCGGTGCCATTACTACTGTTTCGAAAGCGTTGTTCACGGACTGTGATGTTCCAGACATAATAACCGTATTCTGTATGATTAAATGTCTGATACTCGCTTGTTTGAATTTGCCCAGTGTGAAATATGTATTGGTTTCACTTTCATTTCTCTTCCAAATGTTTGAGTATTGGATTACATAGAAAGGTTTTCCGATCCTCGTAGTAAACCTTGGAAATGTGACAGCTGCCAGAAACATTCACATGCGAATTACTAATCCTGCAAAGAAACTACAGGCTCAGCTTGTTTCGCCGAGGCCAAGCTGATTCATGTCCAATCTTATCGCAACGCTCTCAGTATGTCATATGTTACATGTTTCGCATAGATGACTTATTTTGGAACACCAGGCTGGTAGTGGAAACGGTGTGATCCTACGTGCTGTTAAATGCAGCAATGTTGGGTATACACGCTTAGTCTGCAACAGGGTCACGGAAATACTTCAGAATTAGCCCTTTGTTGTGTGTGTGTTAGCAAGGTTGGTTTATAAACATACCAACAGGCATTTACGGAAGTGGCATTCAACTGAATTTAATGCGGGTCGCTGGATTAACAACCTCCGTGCAGAGTACTTTTATTACTCATACAATCGTCTCTTCATAGTCAAATAGAAATTGCTGAAGCTTGACCACTGTTTGAGACAAATTAACTTACCAAATATCCCAATTTTAGCCCTGTATACAGCCAAATCCATATCATTGTCGTATATCATAAATGCCTGATGAGGAAGTTATATCAGAAGGTGAATTGCAGTGTTTTGCTTTGGGACCTTGGCCTACTACTCTTAGTATTTGGCCTATTACCTCTGGTGAACACTTGCTTGTTGCATCATGCTCTGACTTCACTTGATGTTTGCGTTTTCAAAGGAATGGTACTTTGTCAAAGATGCTTACCAGCGGTTTGATACCTTTCCTCGTTTTTATGGTTAATTGCGTGGGCGGACCCACACCAGTGTTCGTGTTATCTTAGGCATCTCTTCTGCATCTTTCACTGACTGCATTGGGTGAATCCTGTGACTCTTATTGCAAACTATATCAGTCATTTCTAGAAGTAGCGTACGTTATCTTTCAAGGTACATCGGTCGTAAGCGCATTCACTCGTAGATTCAGAAATAAATCAATCGGAAGAAATCAGAAGACCAGTATAATAAAAACAAGTTTAGAGACAAATCAAATCACATTGCGGTCTAGGGCAATAATATTAAATCATCAACCTGCTGCCTCCAGGAGAACACATTCACTTCAATCAGTCTGTCTGTCAAATTAGTAGATATTTTGCACTTACTTGATTTCACATTGCCTAACATATTGCATGCTGTCAGTTCTCGCGGGCCGCATAACATGTCCATTTATTTTCCTCGCAGAATTTCAAGAACATTCGTCCGTCATCTGGTCTCCGACCTGTTGCCCTCAGGAAGTAACTCACGCAGTGTTACCTAATTCGAATACGCACGCAGTAAACAAATTACATTCTGCTGAGTCAAGTCTTCCACCTGCAAATAGGCAAATGTCATTGACATCAATCCTTTCGGTTTGTACAAATACTGTGAACAGTGAATATTTATCCAATATATAGTCTGTTCGACAGATACGGTATATTTACTGTTTTCCAATCTTTCCTTGAAGAATGAGTAATTTGCGATTCTGGAAAACTAGACGCCGTTATGAAAAATAATAAGTTTGTGATTTCTTCGATTTCGTAATTAACTCAACGAGAAATGCACTAGAATTTTACTTGATGTTTACATGACTGGATTGATACGTGGCTACATTTGCTCAGCCCACAGTTAGCAAAGACACCGTACAATAGCGTGTTAATAGAAATAACACACTTCTGCAAATTTGGAAGCATGAGTTATAAGCCTTTATTTCCTACCACGTCGGCTAAGGAGTGCATGTTGAGGGGAAGAGATCAGTGGTAGCTATGAGTCCCACCAGAAACTGGGTACGTGAGCATTGAGTTTAAGGTTTTCCAGATACGAATACTGCCTGTATTAAAGCATTGCCAGATTTCTCTTGAAACGCTCTCAGTCTGTTCACAATAACCTTCATGATATCATTGTGGTCGCAAACACTCGGAACTTTTGCGTGTAACAAGCTAGATGCGTGAATAATGTGAACGACGGGCCGCGACACATGATACATTCGAACAAGCAAGTCGTAGCAAAATCGGCTTTCCTTGACACCGAAAAGCATCTGCACCGTGTACCAATCTTTAGTCCGAGTAGTTAAGCATTGTACCACATATTCTTACTTTGGTATGCCGATGATGGCCAAAAGGTTATTACAAAGCTGCAGATGCAAAGTTACTGTCTGACGTTACGTCGGCTTTTCTGTTCATTTTTATGCAACTATATGCTACCATTAAAAATCTGCGGTTTTCGTTTTACTGGAGAAATTTCCGTAGCAATAGTTTTTGGGTCGAGGTTTAAACGCTTGTTCATCGAACTTCGTTGGAGAATCACGCCTGTAGCAACACCTCCTTTGTTGCTTTCTCTGAGCAATGAAAACAGTTTTTGTTCCAGTAGAATCAATATCCTTCTTTCCCCATCTGGACTGACATCACCGATTCTAAATAGGGCTTTTCACATGCCTTCTTTGATCTTGTATTTTTAACTTATACAACACCGGCGTAAAACTAGCGGACGGCATAATGTGATTCCTTCTAAAGCACAGGTGTTATCCTGACATATCTCCATATTTGGGAATATTGCAACCCATGAGACATCGGTCAAACATTAAGACTGAGGCACCAGTATAATAAGTTCAGGAGTTAGAATAAAGGACAAAGATGAACCTGGGTCACCTTTCCGATAAACACTAAACACTGGCTGCTAGGCCAGTGCCGTTAAAGAAGGGATGTAGACTACACGGTTTGAAAACGAAAAACACTTGGTATTTGGTTTGTTATACACCCATGCACCGCAGGAAATTTTCGCCAGGTAGAGCTTCCAAATGTTTCCAAAATTGGCAGTAGTCAAGGTAGCATAGAACAGTTCAGTTTACAATCGATGCACTGGTATTTAATGGACATCCACTGCCAACAAATTTTTTGCAATCTGGTAATAGACATTAACTTTCAGTGTCTGATTTTAACATATTAACAAGGAAAAGTGGCCTTTCAGCAGTGGCTACATTATTTCAGCAGAGCAGTATAGAGCAAGTCAATGGTTAATATCTACTTCGGTTCTCGTGTTTCAAGGATAAACTTGTATGTTTGATAACTTGCTATGTTATGGATTCAATTTCGCTTACAGAGTCACGATAAATTTGTGTGCCATTTTCGTCTTTTGACGGATCGTAATGATATTTTGGTCTTGTTGTAAAATGATTGCGCATAAGCTTGATTGTATTGTCTTTATCTACTGAGATACACCCACTCAGGATAATGAAAAAACGGATTATCGTTTAAGTTAAAAACATTCAACCGCCGGTCTCTTCGAGTATCTAAAGACACCATATTCTCTGATCAATATTTATGAATGCCGTATCACTATACAAAATTCCTCAGCAACGCTGTAGATTGAGTTTTCACCTTTCAGCAGCAGCGCCAGCAAAATATCGGCAAACTTATTCATCGTTGACGGTAATGTGTCGTGTCCTATTAGGAAGTTACCAGTAGAGAAATAAAGCAATCCGTAAAATAAGCCCCTTTAACATTTCAGTGAAAAGTAAAAAGCTTGAATGTTTACTACGATTACTGAGATATTTCCTCAGTATTCCATATGACGCTGAACTAAGTAATCGTAACAGTACTGCGACTCCACTGCGTCCCAGAATTGTCGAATCTAAAGACTAGATGCGTACCTAGTTGAGTATCCCCATTCTCCCCATCAAGAATAACCTAAATTGTAAGCAGCACACAATTAAAAGTTAAAATGAAATTCGCGAATTTATCAGCAATCGTGAACACATCGCAGTAGTGACAGCAGATTCACATTTGGCCTGCTCTACGACTCCTGCCTGTGGAATTTCCCCCCACACATGTCCTCACTCGCAAGCTTGAACTGAAGCGTTCTTGCTTTTATTCACCACTCATTCTAATCGCGTTACATCTTGAAATTGCAGTGTTTCCACACTTATGGATTAGGTTACTCCCAATCACCCTGTTTTAAAAATCTTAGAAGAATAAATAATAATTAAAAAAATAAATAAATAACTTGTATATTTCTCGACTATGCGAGAAGCAGTTTCCTAAATGGAGCAGATCAAATAATGGTACAAACTTTCCATGACATTGCATTTATACATTTCCAGAAATAAACACGGGCGCAATTGCACATTAGGTAACACAGATCAAGCAAAATCCTTCTACTAATATTCTCCCGCCATTGAATCAGGATTCGTCAAAATCGCATGACAGGTGTTGGGGCCGATAAAAATGTAATTAAGGGGCTGTTGTCCGAAAAGTTATGTGTATGTGTTTCGAAAATTCATTCAGACACCATCGTTACCGTTTTCGAATGCGTTATCTAGGGAACGTTATCTGTTATCTGCGTTATCTGGTATGTCTAGAACATATTAATCACGTTTTGGATGGCTAAATGCCTAATAATCGCAAGCTTCAAAATGCGAAGTAGATCGCATGTTCTGATATCATTTGGAAGTTTGTTCCAAATCATTGACTATTGGGTTAGAAAGAAAAGTTCTCTGATTATCTTAGTAAATTTTGGAAGCATGACCTTTACCTCTTTGTTACGGATGGGTTAACTGCTGTTTAAATATATGTGAACACTGTTTTAAAGACTAAGAATCTGACAATTTATGATTCTGTAAAAAAAGCATAGGTTCGGCTTCATTATCCGAAGCCAACATGGGTCAAATCCAAGTTTGTCACATGGTTCTCTGTATTTCTACTTTGAGGGATATCGCGAAGTGTCTGAACACTCTTAAGAACCTGCTGGTCAGTTTCCGCAGGTTATACTTGACCACTGAACGGTATTCCATACACGACAATACATATGTTTTGTAAAGCGATATGAGAGATTTTGTGAGGTAAAAATGATGGCAGCTATCTTCATGGTCTTCATGGATTTCGACCTTTGAATGTCAAAGTGTTCAGAAAAGTTTAACGTGACCGAATATCGCACGCCCAAGTCGCGAACTGCCCTGCACTCCGACATATATGCTCTTGTAGTAATAAACTCTCTGGCAATACTTTTCATTTGTACAACAAAATATTACACTTGTCCATGGTAAATGACATCTGCCATAGTTGGCACCAGGAGTCAAGAGCAAATAGGTCATTCTGCATGAGACGTACGGCTTCCCGGGTCTATCTTCGTGGTTTAGTAGACAACTTTAATGTCATCAACAAACATAAATGAAACACCATTTCTTATTCTCTGGAATTTTTCGTTAGTAAAAATTAAAAAGGAAGAGAACCAAGAACACTCCCTTGAATCACTTCACTAGTGATAGCTTTGGGTTTAGAGAAATGGTCGCCGATGCGCACCACCTGATGTCTACCAATTAAATATGAAAACAGTCGAGCGAACATCGGTTCTCCAATGCCTATAGCACTCAGTTCCTTCAGTAACATTTTTGTGAGGCACTCTATCGAGGACTTTATGCATATCTAGGAACATGATTATAACACTGTTTCCGTTGTCAATGGCAGCCGTTGTTTGGTCTAAAAAGTAAGTCTGGCATATTGCGCAGGATCGCCCTATCATAAACCGTGTTGTGAATTGCTGATGAAGTTAGCGTTGTTCAATAATATAAATATTTCGTCTTTCACTATCCTTTCTATTATTCTAGCTACGATGGGTGTGTGATTGATGGGACAAAAGTTTTTAACCTCGTGGGCAGCTCCAATTTTATGTCGCGGGATAACAACAGAAGTTTTCCATTGAGTAGGGTATACTCCGTGGTTAAAGTAGAGTGTAAAGAGGTTGAGAAAAAGCAGAAGGAAGTCACTACCACTGCTATTCATTAAACAAGTGAGGATCTCATCAGAGCCT